CTACGCCAGAACAAATTGGCAAGATACTGCGCTTGCCTCCAAGCACGTCTGCAGCTGAGGTCGTCCTTGTCGAAGACCCCTGGAGGTACACTTGGGCACGGGCGCAGATGCAACAAATGATTAGGGGTTAATGGTTGTTCATCTAAAGGACTGTCGCTATTTCTTGAGAGGGGTCTGGAATTGAGAATATTCGTCACCTCTGCCAAAACGGTTGAGAGGACCTCATCGGAGACTACCTGCTCCTTCAACATCGCTCGCAAGATCTGGCGCACAGAACGTATCATCCGCTCCCAGATGCCGCCCATGTGGCTCGCCGCTGGTGGATTGAAAATCCATTCTATCATCTTCTGTCCACAAAAACTGTTGATCTTCTGCTGATTCCATCCCTCTATGGCTTCCTTTAACTCCCTTTCTGCGCTAGTAAAGTTTGTACCTCGATCACTTCTTATCTGCTCAGGACAACCACGAATACTGATGAATCTTCTGAGTGCATTTATCATTGAGTCAGTGTCCAAGGAATGGCCACTTCTATAGGGACCGCTCGCATTGTCAAACACGTAAATAGGCATCCATACCTTTTCACATGGGATCTGCCCTGCTTTACTTCAATCGGCCCGAAATAATCGACAGCAACAAATGTGAATGGTGGCTTGTCAGGGGTTAGCCTCTCTTCAGGTAAATTTGCCATAAACTGCTCTCCCGGGCGTGTGTTTCTTCGCTGACAGTCTATACATCTCCTTAACACTCGTCGCACTGCTGACCTTCCTTTGACCACCCAGAATGTTTCTCTTAAAGAAGACAAAACACATTCTTGACCCATGTGACCCAAACTCTCATGATACTGCTTGATAATCAGATCCGTCACATGATGCTTGTAGGGAAGGATAATAGGGTGTTTCTTCTCATAAGGAACCGGGGCAAGTGCTAGTCGGCCACGAACCCTCAGCAAACCATCCTCTAAGCGTGGGTTGAGCTGATGCAACGCCGTTCCTGCCTTTCGAAGGACCCTTTTAACACAACCATCTGCATCGCAACTTCCTGCTGATGAGAGAACCTCGATGACTTGAGGGAAAGACACTTGCTGTACTTCCTTGAGGATTTCGTTCTCAGCCTCCTGAAGCTCTGCCACCTTCAAGTAGCCATATTTCACGAATGGCACTTCGCCGCTCTGGACTTGGCATTCACTCGAAACTAAAGCGCTCCTCTTACTCAGCTGAACTTTCCGTAAAAGGTACGCCTTGTACCGCAACAACCAGGCTACAGCCCTTTTCAACTTCCACCAAGACGAGTAGCGTGCTATTAAGGGCTCCAGGTATTTACTTTGAACAACAACGGTGTAAATCTGAGTCTCCTTCCTGACTTCAGGGTCGTCATCTTTCAATGCTGGAATTTCAACCATCCTTGGCCAGAGGCTCTCATTTCCCCAAAGAAACTCCGGACCTCTCAACCAGCGATCATTTTTTAACATGTCATCCAATTTAAGTCCCTTTGAGCCATCATCTGCAGGATTATTATCTCTGTTTACATAATGCCACTCGGAGTGGGAAGATCCATTATGTATCACCGTCAAACGATTGGATTCGAACGCGTGGAATCTTTTTGATTCGTTGCTGATGCACTTCAACACTGACATTGAATCGGTCCAGTAGAACACTTTCTGGAAGTTCATATCCAATTCTTCACGGATAATCTTAGAGAGTTTCACGGAGATGACTGCAGCTGTCAATTCCAACCTTGGAATTGAAATCTCGCGCACTGGGGCTAACCTCGCCTTTCCCATTACGAATGCACAATGAATTCGACTGTTCTCGTCCTTCACACGGAGGTATGCAACCGATGCGTATCCTTGACGAGATGCGTCTGAGAAAAGATGTAACTGTACTTCTCTTACTTCGCCAAACTCTCTGGGTCTGAAACAACGATCTACTTGCACTTCCTGTAACTTGGGAAGATCATCCAGCCATCGCCTCCACTGGATTTTCTCAGCCTCCCCAATGAGATCATCCCAACCAACGTTCTTTCTACTAAGGGCTTGCAACAACAGTTTGGCTTTCATGATGTATGGTGCAATAAAACCCAGGGGATCAAAGAGAGAATAAACAGCTGACACTATTCCTCTGCGTGTCATTGGCCGCTGATTAGCAACTTGAAGGATCTTCTCCAAGACCTCCCACACAAATTTGTCTTCCTCTGTGTTCCATTTGAGACCTAGAGCAGATTCGGTCGGCAATTTCTCCAAGTCCAAGTTTGCAAATGACTTGGCCCTTTCAGATTCTGGAATCGCTGCTAGCACATCTCTGTCATTGCTATACCACTTTGTCAAATGGAAACCACCTCTTCTTAGTAGCTCCTGGAGTTGACTCACCAGCACAACTGCCTTCTCGGTAGTGTTTGTTGACTTCATCATGTCGTCCACATACATGTTACGCTTCACCGTTTCCACTGTCTGTTCCTCGAATCCTTCTCCATGTAACTCGGCGGTTTTTTTCAAACAGAAATTAGCAATACTCGGGGAAGATGTGGCTCCAAATAGGTGCTTCACCATTCTATATTCTTCCAATTCTCGAGACAAGTCTCCATTGGGCCACCACAAAAATCTAAGTGCGTCACAGTCCTTAGGTTCCACCAACACCTGATGGAACATCGCTTCAATGTCAGCTACCACTCCAATGGGCTCTTGTCTAAACCGACTAAGGACACCCACTAATTGATTTGTTTGATCAGGTCCTTGTAAAAGTTGTTGATTCAATGATGTCCCTCCGAACTTGGCAGCACAATCATAAACTACTCTCACTTTGCCGGGTTTTAAGGGGTGAGTTACGGGATGATGAGGTAGGTACCACACCGGTCTGTCCTTTATCTCTAACTCTTCATCGGGGACCTTTTCAGCGTGGCCACTTTCAATGTAATCAGCCATTGTTGTCTTGTATTTCTCCAACAAGGCTTCGTCTTTCAGGAGTCGTTTCTTTAGAAGTAAACCTCTTCGCTCTGCAACTACCCTGTTGTTAGGTAAAAATGGTGGCTCATGTCGCCAAGGCAGGGCAACCTGAAAGTGTCCATCTACCATCTTAAGAGTTCTCTCCATTATTTCTAGGGCCCTTTTGTCTTCCAACGATGCACAAACTCGCGTCTCGACTTCACAGTTTTCAAAATCTGTTCTCCACAGTCGCTCCAACTGCTGACTAAGCTCATCGTCCCGAGCTTGACGATCAATTTCATCTATCTGTAAACGATGCTTGGGTTCACTGGCATTACATTCTAATTCAAGGACACAGTTCATGTCTGCAACATTCTCTTCATAGGCATCTTCACTGTTTAGCCCTGTAGACAACACAACACTCTTCTTGTGGTCTTTGCAAAGAACATAATCTTCAAAATCTAAACCACCTGCGCACACAACAGAGCTATCTTCCATACGTAGGTAGTTGACTGAGCGTTCGGCAGTACAGCTTTCTCCACCAACAGGACCTATCACCGTCCATCCCAGGCTGTACCTAATTGCTACTGGTTCTCCTTTGCCACCAGCACGGTATTCTAACGGCAAGAACAAGCTTGGGTTGTCTTTAAGACCAACAATCAACATGACACTTGTGATGTCCAACTGTTGTAACTCAATATCACGCAAATGAGGCCAATTTTCTAGGTCCTCCTTCTTGGCTATACAGCTCTCAGTTATAGGCATATGCTTGACTGTCCTGACGCTTGAAAGTTCCACTGTCACTGATTCATCCATTGACATCACCACAAGATCTACTTGTTGACTTTCCACTCTGGCTGAGCCTGTCATCCCTGCTAAAGTGAAGTCCAGCCTCGTGCCGCTTGCACCCAATGTCTCCTTCAACTTTTCATGGCAAAGAGTCACTTCTGAGCCACTGTCCAACAACGCATATGTTTCAACAGGTATCAAATTGCTACCTTTGGCTAAGACCTTGACTGGAACAACACTAAGACAGACTCGCTCGCCGGCCCCAGTTGCAGCAGTTACGGCAGCACTTTCACTAGTTACTCCACTGGTTTCACTGTTGGTGTTCGCCCTTGTTTCTTCCTGATTAAGCTGGCGTGGATTAACACTTGGTGGGGTTGAATCTGCTGGAGGGGGGTGTAGCAGTGTGTTGTGTTCCTTCTTACATCCATTCACTTGACATTTGAACTGAGTTTTGGGGCAGTTTCTTGCAAAATGACCGCTCTGGAGACACTTGATACAAAGGCTTTGTTCATGCACTACTTTCCATTTGTCTTGATGAGATTGCTTCTTAAACTTGTCACACTTCCACAATCCATGCTGACCACGACAAACGGTACAAGCAGGCATTGTTTGGTTCTGACCCCCATTTCCCTGTCGACCTCGGACTCCTCCAAATAGTGACATGAGTCTTCGAGGATTTCGACCTCGTTGGTCTCTCCGATTCACATTCTCCCTTTCCTTCGAAGGAGCAACGTTAAGATCCTCTCCAAACTCATTATTAACAAGCGCAGCTCTGTCCTTTAAGTGTTTAAGGAAGTCTACAAACTTAGGTTTCGATCCAAATGAAATAATCCTTCCTGCACATTCTGTCCACTTGACCCTCAGTGGACAGTGGCAGCTTCTTGTTCAGTTCCCTTAACGTATTCGTGTGATTCAAATCACTGACGTATTCAGGCCCCATGCCTGACAGTGTTCTATGGGCAACATCTAAATGGCGGGCAAATTCAAGTAAACTTGCTCCATTCGCCTGTTTCAAGGGAGGTAGGTCTTCCAACTTCTTGATATGTGCTTTGGCTATGATGTGAGGCAGTCCAAAGTTTTCGCGTAAGGTATTCTTAGCTACATAATATCCCTCGTCTACTGGTAGATTCACACAACTTTCAATGGCATCCCTTGCCTTGCCATAACAGTGTTGGATTAATAGCTGTAATCTCCTGGAGTTGTCGGGGTTATCTTTCTCTAAGCAGGTTTCAAAATTGTGCATGAACGAGACATACTTTATGGGGTCTCCATCGAATCTCATGTACTCAATCCT